GGCCTAGACCCTTCAGGGTCTAGGCCCGAAACGTCAGCCTTCCTGCTCCTCTGATGCTGCTTGGCCTGCTGTGTTCATCCAGTTCTACACCTTGTTATCTCAGATTCTCCAGCATCTGCAGTTCTTACTGTCTCAGCACAGTATCTTACAGACTAACAAGAACAGTCTGGTCAGCAGTTGAGAATTCCAACTTCCCATATGCTATCCAACATCTACATGGCACAAGCTAGTAGTGTAATAAAATACTCTCTACTTACTTATATGAATGTGACTCCAAACACACAAGAAGCTCAACACCATCCAAAACAAAGCAGCCTTAACACATACCCACAATGGCACAAGTGTGAGCTATGCACATGATGCTCCACAGGAACTCAAATGTTCCATTGACAGCTCTTTCCAGATCTGCAATCTGTGCTACCAAAATGGACAAGGACTGCTAATGAATATGAACATAGTTACCTTCATGTTTTTGTCTAAGCCATATGTCATTCTGATCAGAAACGATGTCACCATTCCTTCACTGTCACTGTGGGAGATCCTGGAATTCCCTTCCTAACAGTGCTAAGAGTGTACCTGCACCATGTACTGCAACAGTTCAAGTAGGTGCTCATCACCTAATCAACAAATGTTGGCCTTATTGATCAAGATGTCCCATGATAGAATTTTAAAACCAGGTAACATGGGCCAAAAGTCATAAGGGTATGATGACCATATACATTTCCATGTCAGGAAAAGGCAGGATGATGACTTAGGGAACCAGATAGGCATATTAAGAAAACAACAGAAACATTGCATGGATAACAAAACTAGATATAGAGGGTGACAGGAGGAGAGTAATGTTCTATATTCAGGGTGGCATGATACCATATTAGTAGAAAAAGAAGATGAGATACTAATGGAGCGAATAATAATCTACTGAACCTGTAATTTGATATTACAAATCTGAATGAGGGAAAGGGGGATTGTTAGCCCCTAGAAGTGACATAAGGGAAACAAAGGCACCATTAACACTGAAAACCTGTGAATGAAGAACAAGGACTAATTCTGTACAATCCAGCCTCCACCCACAATAAAACCAATTTATGTAGCTGCCTTTCCCAGCACCATTTTTGAATCTGTCTCGCAGCAGTAAATAACGATATGCTTGTTTTAAAAGGAGATAGCAAGAACTGCAGATGCTAGAGTCAGAGTCAATACAGTGTGGAGCTGGAAGAACATAGCAGGTCGGGCAGCAGAGGAGCAGGAAAGTCTACTGTCTACTGTATCCGTTGCTCCCAATGTGGTCTCCTCTACATCGGTGAGACCAAGCACAGACTCGGTGACAGATTCGTGGAGCATCTGCGCTCTGTACGCTATAATCAGCACCACCTTCCGGTTGCCAACCATTTTAACTTGCTCTCCAACTCTTTTGGTGATATGTCCATCCTGGGCCTCCTTCAGCGTCACAGTGATGCCACATGCAAACTGGAAGAACAACACCTCATATTCCGCCTCAGGAGCTTACAGCCCAATGGCCTCAAAATAGAATTCACCAGTTTCAAAAGCTCCCCACCCCATGTCCAACCTTTCCTCTCATACCCGCCTCCTTGACACATCCTGTCCATCTTCTTTCCCTTCTATCGCCCCACCCTTCCCACTAACCCCCCTACCTGCATCCACCTATCGCCATCCCACCTACCATCCCCCAGCTTCACAGCCCTCTCTCTCTCTTTATTTCTAAGCTCCCTTCCCCATCTGCAGTCCTGATGAAGGGTTCAGGCCCGAAACGTCGACTTTCCTGCTCCTTTGGTGCTGCCTGACATGCTGTGTTCCTCTAGCTGCACACTGTATTGACTGCTTGTTTTAAAAACTGCCTACCTAGACCCTACAGCACCTGTAGTTCAACAAAAATTATGATTTATTTGCACTCTCTCTATAATTGTGTGATTAATTTCCTTCATTTAGCAGCTGTATTTATTTGTTTCTTATGCATTTTCTTGATTATTATAAATGCAATCCTCTGGTTAGATTTTTAGCCCTAATGTATTAAAATAAGTATATATAATTAGTTAATAAATATCTGCATGCATACTTATTACAAGCCCAGCTACATTATCAGCAATTTACAGCAACTTTTATTGAATTCTGATTTTTTTCCACAATCAATCCCATTAAATAACCGCTCACTCCTTCAATTTATGGAATTTGGCTGAAATCCATATACACAGTTTTGAAATAATCAATTTTCTGTGATTGTTCCATTATGTCAACATGACAGGAGCGGCATGAATAATTTAATAATTGCTTAAAATATGGAATCCATGTAAAATATAAATTTATCTGAGCCATTGTAAACATACAATTCTAAATTATAGATTGTATGTTTGAGGAATTTCATTGTGACATCTTGGCCACTAGAGTGTGCCATTTCATGGATTTATTTATGAACAATCTAATTTCTGAATTAACCTGGTTAATGGGAGATGAATCTGGGATGTAACTGATAATTATAACTATATTAAGCTGTTGCTGGACTAGATATAGGACAGTTTTGCCAAAGTTGACATTGACCCCCACAGTCTGCCATTCTAATATGGGGACAGTCGGGGTGGGTGTCCCATAGTTATGTATAGATTTAATGCCGAGTATTTAATCAAGCAACTTGTCTTGATTATTGCTTCCTATTCTATGCAGCAGTTTCATACAACTGAGTGATTTACCAGAGTACTTCAGAGGACTGTAAAGAGTGAAATAGAGCAATACAAATGAATGTAATTGACAGAGAAGAACATGACACAAGTATAGAATAGGCAATTTGTGTCCCCAAACCAAAGGCCTACTGTGACTTTCAATACAATCATGGCTGTGGCCTTAACTCCACTTTTCTCTCTGCCTTCCCATTAACCTCAACTTCCTCTTACTTCAATAAAATGTCTAACTCAGCCTTGCATTTTTAATAATGAACCCTTAGTTGTTCTATGGGGTTGAGAATTTCAAAGATTAATGACTGTCAGTGAAGTAATTCCTCTTCAGTTACATCTAAAATCAGACACACTTTATCCTAAAGCTGTGCTAACTAGTTCTAGACTCCCATGAGGGGAAACAGCTCAATGCTGTCAAGCCTCCTCATAACTTCCTATGTTTCAAAATATCACGTCTCATTCTTCTAAACTCCAATAATTATAGATCTGATCAGCTTTTCCTCCTTTAAATATCCATTCATCCCAAGAATGAAGCTAGTGAACCTTTTCTGAGCTCCCTGAAATGCAAGTACAGCCTTCCTTAAATAAGGAGACCAAAACTGTATGTAGTTGCCTATGTGCAGTCTCACCAGTACCGTGTACAGTTGTAATAAGATTTTGCTACTTTTGACTCCATCATCATTGTAATAAAGGCCAACATTCCATGTGAATGTCAATCATCTCAGTTCTAAGACATCACTAAAGGAGCTCTTCAGAACCATGTCTTGGCCCTACTGTCTCTAGCTAGTTTATCAATGACCTTCCATCCACCATAATGTCAGAATGGGGAATTCTTTACTGATTCCAGATTTTGCTTCACTACCTTACCAAGGAATTGCGGAGCAAGTGATTCTACTCCTGACTTCCCTATGACTGTTTACAAGGCACAAGTCAGGACTGTTGGAGTGCAATTGTGGCTC